TAGGCAACAAACAAAACGAAACAACGAACGAAAATATCTAAAAGTTGACAAAGTATTTCAAGAAAGTGTTACTTGTCTTTTATGGATTGTTTTGATAAGTATTTCAAAATTTAAAAGTTGTTGAAAGATTCTGTCAGTATGAAATCTAAAAGTAACTAGTAAAAGCAAAAATGAAATGAATAAAACACCAAGGAGGTATATTAGAATGGAGGGAGAAAGAAGCTAAAAATCATTTAAAATCGTAGTACAGTCTTTGTTGAATAATTATTCCAGCGAAAAGTCAAAATGGCGTCTTTGCGTTGAAAAAGGAAAATTTTCAAATGTAGTTTATAAACTTTGTAAGCTGTAATCAAAATGGATTACTTTCTCAAAAGTTGACTGGATAAGTTTTTGACAACTGTTCCAACTATCAATTAGTAATCACAACAAAAATCATGATCTACGTAAAGTAGTCGTTTTTGAATACCTCAATACAATGTATAAACTTGTCAAATTTTAAACAATCTCTACTATTTGGTTGAACCATATCTTTTGCTTCCCCGTTTAGGTATAAGTTTTTTACAATTTTCAAAAACGTTTTTTCGGCAAGGAACTTATGATACCTCTCTAGGATTTTATTTTGTGTTGTAGTATTTTAAAAACAATTGTAGTTACGTGCGTATCCAATGAGTTACGGCACCGATTATGTAATCAAAATCTTCGACCATTTTATTTTTTTTTTTTTTTTTTTTTTTTTTTTTAATGATGATAATAATAAACTTTCACAAATATAAAATAAGGTATCTGAAAGAAGATCAAAGGATCTTGTCGTCAGAACCTTAAATAAGTTCAAACAAGCATTAACAGTATCAAATTTTTACAAATTTCATATATATATAATCCAAATATATATTTTATAATCCAAAGAGAGATCACGCGGATCTACTCACTAATATTTTATATAAACGTATACGTGAAGTAAAGAATATAAAATCAGCAAAATAAGTAAGAATAAACTTTTTACAAATATAAATAAGAAAAGGCAAAGTTATTAATTTATATTATTAATAATAACATAATACGTCTTCTATCAAAACCCTATCAAAGCGAGCTTAGCGTTTGAGTTTTAAGGACGTATTTTGTTGTATTATTTTTTAGAAATTTATATCAATATAGACTTTTAAAAATTAGAAAAGTTAAACTTCATGTTATTACAAGATTATTCCTTGAGAAACTTTAACTTCGTTCTCTCTCCAGTCTATTATATCTCCTTGATAAAACTAAATGCAATGTTAAATTGCTTTTAAAACTATATATATTTTCACGATACTTGTGCTTTTCACGTTACTTGTTAGCTTGTTAAAATAAGAAATCTTCAAACTATTTATCTATTTAGCAACGTATAATTAACGAACTGTTTTTTTAAGAAAAAAAAACTGGTTTTCGGTTTTGAGAAAACTGAACAAAAAAACGGTTAACCGGTTGCGGTTTCAACCGGTTGCCAAGCCCTTGTAAATAGTGATTAAAAAAAACTTATAACAACCGGGAGGCTGAATAAGTGCGAATTTCATAAGTGCAAACTAGCATAAGTGCAAAGCGTTGCAAAAACTAGCATTAGTGCCAGCATAAATGCGAATTGGCATAAGTGCGCCGAATAAGTTTGCAAACATTGCCATAAGTGCGAACTGGCATAAGTGAGAAGCAGTTACAAAATATGGCACAAGTGCAAACTGGTATAAGTGTGCAGAATAAATTTGAAAACATTGGCATAAGTACAAATTTGAATAAGTGCAAACTGTCATATGTGTAATGCAGTTACAAAAACAAAAAGCGTTGCAAGAACTGGCATTAGTGCCAGCATAAATGCGAATTAGCATAAGTGCGCCGAATAAATTTGCAAACATTAGCATAAGTGCAAACTGGCATAAGTGCAAATTAGCATAAGTGCACCGAATAAAATCGGAAATATAGAGGGGACGACTGAATATACGCGAGTTTCAAAAGTACAAAATGGCGTAAGTGAGTATTGGCATAAGCGCGCCAAAAAAATTTGCAAACTATGACACAAGTGCGAAATGGTTAATGTTTGAACTGGCATAATTGCGATTTGGCATAAGTGCGCCCAATAAATTTACAAACATTGGCATAAGCGCAAATTGGTATTAATGCAAACTGGCATAAGTGCAAAGCAGTCGAATCGGCATAAATGCGAACAGGCATAAGTGCGCCGAATAAATTTGCAAACATTGGCACAACTGACATAAGTGCAATTTGGCATAGGTGCAAAATGTAAATTTGCACTTTTGTTATATTTGCAATTTTATTTGGCGCATTTATGCCAGTTTGCACTTATGCTAATTTGTACATATGCCAGTTCGCACTTATAAAATTCGCGCTTATTCAGCTTCCCGATATTAACATAAGTGCAAATTGGCATTTCACACTTATGTCAGCTTGCACTTATGCCAATTTCAAGTGCAATTATACCAATTTTGCAACTGCTTAAAAATTATGCTCATTCGCACTTATTCAATCGTCCCATAAAAACGTAATAGTAATAATAAAAAACTATTTTTAAATTAATCTCCTTTGTTCTTGATGAACATTTTAATTCTAAAAGGGAGAGCGCGCAAAAAGCTAAACAACAAATTTAAACCTCAGCCAGGATTTACAACTAAGCATGCAAAAATTTAATAACGATGAAAGAGATGATGATGAAAAATTACTTAATAAAAAGCTCTAAAATAAAATGTGGTTTAATATACAAAAAAGTGAGACAAAAAAGAGATTTAGTACGTGTCAGAGAGCACCGCAAAGGAGCATTTAACTATCAAGCCTTTTTTCTACTGATAGCAAAAGATATGCCCAGAATTCTTCTTACACCTGGATCTTTTCTAAAGCTCTAATTATTTCTGCTTACCACTGCGCAACATATGTCTATTTTTGTGCATTTTGTATTAGCTGGTTAGGATTGTTTTATTAGGAATTATGACGGGTATTATCAGGAAAATTTGCATCAGGCGGAAAATTATTTTACCTAAAAACAATGCACGTAAATTGTGCGAATGAGCATAATTTTGAAGCAGTTGCAAAATTGGCATAATTGCACTTGAAATTGGCATAAGTGCAACTTGACATAAGTGTGAAATGCCAATTTGCACTTATGTTAATATCGGGAAGCTGAGTAAGCGCGAATTTCATAAGTGCGAACTGGCATATGTATTAAATTTCTGATAATACCAGTTAATTTATTTATCCGTTAATATATTGCATTATATTATCCTTTAACGTTAAATCATAACGTTAAATTGTAACCAATCATAAATACCTCCATTAAACATTTTATTCAAAAAAATAGAATTTTTCAAAAATTATTTAGATGCATAAATTGAATAAATACCATCAATAAAATACTTAAATTAATTTTAACGTTTGTTATTAACTAAAACTTTATAAAACTATATAATATATGTTTTATATAATATATTTATAAAAAACTGGCGGCCGGTGACAATAACAATAGGTGGGACCAGGCAAAATATATGCTGAATCAAAAAGAACATTTTATCCTAATTTTTTTTTCAAAATATAAAATAGGATTAAATGAGTATAGTGGTGACTTCTTTTTTTTTAAATTAAAGCTAAAAGAGTCAAAGTTTTTAAATTAATTTCAAAAAAAATCTGATTTCTTGTTGGCTGACTTCTTCAGCACCTGCAGCAGCTACTTTTGTTGGACATGTTTAAAGACGGGTCTAGTTTTAACTCTTTCATATAAAATCATTTCTTGCGGTTTGTTGCATATAAATGCGACAAAATTTCCAAAGAAAAGTCAAAAAATTGATCCTGTGAAAGATTATAGGCAATGATACAACCTAGATTTTATAAAAAACGTACAAATTTTATAAATATTTCTTTATAATATAACTTTAGATCACAGCTTTTCACAGTTTTAATGCTGTACAAATAGCATTGATACAGTTTTTTTATTATTTAGATTAATTAATGTAAAAATAATGAGAAATATTTTTAAAGTCTTCAGTTAGTTACTTTTTAATTAAAACTGCATTGCTTTTTGAAAAATATATTACAATATCGCCTGCAAGTTTAAATAGTGTGTTTACTCAATAATTAAAACTGTGACCTACCAAATCATACCTTTTAGATACAATCAATTAGAACTGCTTATAACTAGGCGTCTTCTTGCAGTTTTATTTTTTTTATTGCGGTTTTGTGAAAATGGTAAATAATATTTTGTGACTCTTAAGTTTAAACAACTTTTTAGAAGCAAACTTTGCAGGTATTTGGATTTTTTGTTTTGCATTCATCTTTTGCCGCTAATATACTATTCAGCCGTTTGCGCTATTGGTCCTTCTCGCTAATTAAATTATTTTAGATTTTTTTTATTAAAAAAAAAAAAAAAAAAACTAAAAGAGATAGCTAGGTCCTTTAAAACTCATTTTAAAAAAATAACAAGACTTTAATGGATGATTTATGAACAAGAATTCCTTACGAAAGTGAAAACTTCAAGAAGCAAGTATTAACAAAAGGATACTAGTTATTAGGATGTTTCTAGAATAGTCGTATCACGGTATACGGTGGAAAAGAATTAAGAAAGTTTCCGAAGGCATGTTTTTATAAACAAACTTCGCGTTGTATCATTTTTCAATCCTCCTCAAAATTAATAATTTTTAAATTTTTACATCCTTTTATTTATTTCGTTATGCGGATTAACTCATTTTTATACAGATAGATAGATCCTCCTCAAAATTAATAATTTGATTAAACAAATCCTTATGGCGATTCAGAAACTTAAAAAAAAAAAAAAAAAAAAGAAAAGAAAGCATGTAAACTGGATGCAAAACCTCAATCTATTATTTTTAATTATAATTAATAAAAGTTGTTTTTAACTGTTATAATTGATGTCTTTCCGAAACACACAACCTGTGTTGAGCTGGGCTTTTTATGTTAATGTAAAGTGTATTTAATTATAATTACTTCTATAAACTCGATATAAAACCAAATTACACTTGTATTTATATTACACTATAAAATACAAATAAACTCCGGAATACTGAAAATATATATTACATAGATCATGAACTGAAACAAAAACAATATTTAAATGTTTCAATTGCAAATATAATACAATGACGTTGGAACAACGTCAATTAGATTCTCTGTTCTTAAAGTCTACAAAAGGTTAATGACGAGCTTAGTGCAAGTCATTTATCGTTTGACATAAAAAATAAAAGCGTTGATGATCAAAATTAATTTTGACCAAAGGATAGACAAAGCTTTAGCAAACGAAATTTGCTAACTGACTGTTTAATCAACTATTAGCCGTTTGAAAAGATTTCATTTATACATTTAAATAAAATGCTTTTTATTAAAAATCTTTTTTTTTATTTAAAATCAGCCATTCAGTCGGCATACTTTTAAATATTAAAATGCCTAACACAAAATTGTTGTATGTAGTGCCATACTTGATCTGTTTTGCACATGTAATAAGATAGATCCATAAACAACAGACATACATACATTTTTGTATGTAGCGCCGTACTTGATTTGTTTTGCATATGTAGTAAGATAAACCCATAAACTACAGACGAGACTCAGATTCTTTTTTCAAATGTACAGAACTGGTGCTGGTCCGCCGCGCAACAAGTTCTAAATGATTCGCGGTGTCAAGTAAATATTTTGCAGCTCTTCGATAACTGTCAATCATGAGATGTAAGGATAACATTTCTCCCGAGTTACTTGTAGGTAGAAAATGCATTGGGGATAAAATGTCTGGCGTGTATGCGTCGTGATGCTCATGTTTGGGTCGGAGTAAACTCGCTAAAAAAAGGTTATGTTTACTTAAAACTTAATAAAAATAACTATAAAATTAATTTACGAGTTTATACCCCAAGTTTATACGACGCACATTGGAGGGACTAACTAAGATGAGTTAAGAACCTCCACTCTGCGCCGTATAAACTGGGGTATAAACTTATCATTAATGCAAAAAAAGAAAATCAATTAATATTCAATTAAAATAAATACCATATATATCAAAGTGGATTGAAGTGCAATTGAATTGGCTAATTTTGAAAGTTGGAAAAAAAAAATGCTTTTCAGTATGTACCTGTAGATAATAGCGGAGTCAAATAGTACAACTTATAACCTTTCATTGAGTAAACTTCATGTATTTAACTTTCATACCATTTAAACATAACTTTGATTCGTCAATAAACGTTGACATGTAATAGTTATATTTAAAAAGTATAAAACTAAAAATCTATCGATGAACTTAGGCTAAAAAAATACATTTGTTTAATAAATAGGATTTTTTTTTATATGCCTAACTACGTAGTTTTTTGGCTGGCTATTACTAGATAATTATTAGAATCGGGGAAACTTAAGTACATTTAAATTACACCTCAGTAATGAAGAATACTTTTTTGCCATTATTTCTAAAACAATATGCGCTGCCTTTTGATAAAATTTACGATAGCAACACTTCCTATTTTAATCAACTGAACTTCTTATTCCTCCCATTGTGCAGTGGTGGAAAGCTGTGGTACAGATGTGGAAAGCTTTCAGTTTGAAAATGAATAGAAAACTTAAGATTTTAAAAATTAATTGAAAAAACAAAAACAAAAATATATTATCAACAATAATCATAAAAATATATACCCATCAAGCTTAACATCTTACTATACTTAACATCTTACTAATACTAGTATTAAACACTTACAAATAATATTAATCACCTTACACAAATATTACTAATAACTTTATACAATATATGTCAGTGATAAGATTTGCATGATAAACATAATATAAACTTTCTGGTATCACTTTAGGTAACATTAAAACTGATCATTGCTTACTAAATGAATTACTAAATACTGAAGTTTATCTTATAGTTTAATGAATTAACATACTGGATCTTTTGTATTTTTAATATTTTGTATTTTTTGTTTTATTAATAAATTTTGAATTTTTTTATTTCTTAATGACATAGACTATGTAGTAAATTAAATCACATATTTATTTTTGAATTGATTAATAAAAATATAAATAATAAATGTTCCAATTTAATGGTGTATAACCGTGTATAATAAAATTCAAAAGTATATAATGGAATATATTAGTGTATAGTGGAATGTGATAATAATAGATTACAATGCAAAAAAAGAGAAAATAAAAATGAGGCTAAATACTGCAACTTGTATGAATAATTGAAAACTAATTCAAATCAAACCAAAGAAATTGTTTCTACAAACACTTCAAAAAATACACAACTCAAAGAAAATGCAAACAGCATTCAGTAGTGACATCAAACTTCCTGCCATATATTTAAAAACTAAGCAACACAATAAACATCACAACAACTACAAAAACAAAGCCGAATATATATATATATATATATATATATATATATATATATATATATATATATATATATATATATATATATATATATATATATATATATATATATATATATATATATATATATATATATGCTTAGAACACACATTTATTACTTACTAAGTAATATAAATTGGTATAATCGGACAAAATAGCATATCGGTAGATGAGAATTATAAGACATCGAGAATTATAAGAATTATAAGATCTCCCAATAGTCATGGTAAGAAAATTTAATTTTCTGTTTTTATTTATTATATTATTTTTGTCACATGACGATGTCACATGTCACATGACCAATTGTACATCAAAAGTTTATTCAATGTTTGGTATGTTAAAAAAAATATTTCATTACATCAACAAAAAAAGTTTAAGATACTATATGTAACATTTATAAGACCTCATCTTGAATTTGCGATACAAACATGGTGCCCATACATTAAAAGTGATGTTATTACAATTGAAAAAGTTCAACATTATGCCACTAAATGAATACCCCATATTCGAAAACAAAGTTATGAAACAAGAATTAAAATACTTTGCTTAAGCACACTGGAAAAAAGACGTAAAGGAGGCAACTTAATTCAAATGTACAAACTATTTAAACAAATATTGTAAAACTAAATTGTAATATTTTTGCTAGCCCAACACAAGGGGCCATAACTTCAAAATCAGAAGAGAAACAGTTAAAAACTGGAATATTCGTCATCAACTTTTAACTTATACAGTCTCATCAATGTGGAACAAACTACCAGATTTTATCATAAAAAGTGAAGGCTTGATCTTATTCAAAACTCACAATCATAAATGTCTAGAGCTATATGATTTGTAATTTATAATTTGATTTATTTACATAGATTAACTACACAATGTATATGCAGCCAAATTGAAATTAATTACTATTAATTTTACTCTTAGTTTTTGAGCTACTACAGCTTTTTTTTTTTTTTTTTAATTTTTATTTTGATTCACCTCCTCAAGGCCGAGAAGGCCACTACAGACGAGGAGGCTACTTATTTGTGGCTATAACCCTCTCTCAACTCTATAACTCTGAAACACGAACCTTGACGAACAAGGCCGCTGCGCGGAGAAACGAGTTGAGCGCGGTACTACCAGGGACGTGGTGGGGATCGAACTCGGAACCACTCGTTTATGAAGCGAGCGCTCTACCACTACACCACTACCGCATGCTTTCTATTATAGCTATATATTATTATATTATATTATGTTTAAAATTATACAATTTTAATATATTAATCTTATTATTATTATTATTATTTATATAATATTTAAAAACATATGTTTTTGCTAATTTCAACCTTATTTAATAAAATTGGAATTAACAAATAATTTTTAATTAAGCAATTTCAAAAATTATAAACCTAATAATATTTTATAACAATTAATTATAAAACATAAATAACATAAAAAAAAAACATATATTTAATCAATATAAACAAGAGCTGTAAAATTAAATGTTAACATTAAAAAAATAAATATAGAACCCTACTATTCTAACGTCACAATTTTTAAAAAATTCAAAAACTTATAAAAGATTTTTCTTTTAACTCATCGCCTTCCCAAACCAAAACCCTCAGTTATTGTATGTACGCTTCATACAAACCAAAACCCTCAGTTATTGTATGTACGCTTCATACAAACCAAAACCCTCAGTTATTGTATGTACGCTTCATACAAACCAAAACCCTCAGTTATTGTATGTACGCTTCATACAAACCAAAACCCTCAGTTATTGTATGTACGCTTCATACAAACCAAAACCCTCAGTGATGTATGTACACTTCATACAAATCAAAACCCTCAGTTGATGTATGTACACTTCATACAAACCAAAACCCTCAGTTATTGTATGTACGCTTCATACAAACCAAAACCCTCAGTGATGTATGTACACTTCATACAAATCAAAACCCTCAGTTGATGTATGTACACTTCATACAAACCAAAACCCTCAGTTGATGTATGTACGCTTCATACAAACCAAAACCCTCAATTGATGTATGTATACTTCATACAAACCAAAACCCTCAGTTGATGTATGTACAAACCAAAACCCTCAGTTGATGTATGTACATTTCATACAAACCAAAACCCTCAGTTGATGTATGTACACTTCATACAAACCAAAACCCTCAGTTGATGTATGTACACTTCATACAAACCAAAACCCTCAGTTGATGTATGTACATTTCATACAAACCAAAACCCTCAGTTGATGTATGTACACTTCATACAAACCAAAACCCTCAGTTGATGTAAGTTCACTTCATACAAGGTTCTTCCTAATTGAGTCATTCGATGTATATAAACTCTCTGCATGTTCCCCTTATTTAATCAGTTAATGTAGGCACACTATAGCGTGGTAATCTATAAATAAATCAGGATAAGGGTTTGGGGACCTTTTAATTCAAAAACCACCTTCTTGAAGCCTATAATTACTATAAATACAAAATTTATAAAAAGAAAAAGAAAATGACTTACCCTCTCTGTCAAACATGCTTTCTATAGCCGGTTCAGAAAACTGTTTACAAAAGTTTGTTGGTCTAGAAAATTTATTTTTTGAACCAGGCAAAAAAAAATCTCTATTTTCAGTAGGAGTTGCAGCGTAAGGATAACAGGAAAATTGTTCAGGGGGTGTTGACAAATTTAAATTAGCTTGCAAGTTTAAATCAACTTTGTAATCATTTCCTAAATTGTTATGGTTTTCAGATGCTAAACTATTACAAAACGTTGAAATACTTTGGAGTTTGATGTTGCTTTCGCTTGTTTCAATAGATTTGCTGTCATCAGTTACTTTTTTTATATTGTTGGGTTTATAGGCTTTAATTTTTCTTTTTCTATTTTTAACTTTTGTCATTGGTGAAAAGTCACGAGCATTATCATTATTTATTTCAATGATCGGATTTGTGTAATTTTCCAGATGAAGATCTATGTGAACTAATTTGCTAATTTTCCCTGGAGGGATTTTACGCACAGCACTTGTTATAGAAAAATTTCTTAAAGTCGATACAGTATCAATAACAGTACTTCCTGTGTCTTTTGAGTAGTCCACTAATTGAACACCTCGCCTAAAGTAACCCAAAACCTCTCTTGCTTTAAACTTTTTTTTATCTACTACTATGACTGCATGTTCAGGTGGTGCAAATAATTCAAGAGGGAATTCTTCAAAATAGTCTTGCAATTTTACCTGAACATTTTCAGATAAAATCAAAAATGGCTGATGAGGAGCTAATCGATTCCATAGAGCTTCAAAAACACGAGAATAATTAGCGTTTTCTTTTAATATATCTTTAGCTTGTTTTTTAGGCTCCTTGGAATCTTTAGGTTTTACAAAAGGACTGTTGGGTAAATCTATAGAAAAAAGTGTTTGATCAGAATTAGGTTTATCGAAGAAGCTGGAATGAAACTCGGGAAGCTCAGGTAAATACAGACTTAAATGATAAATGACTTCAAAGACTTCACGAATTACAACAGCTCTTCTGTATTCTGACCAACCTATAAACAAATTGACAACAACAAATATTTCAAAAAGAATAGGTACAATTTAGAATAATATAAAATAATATAAAATAATATAAAACAAACTTATATAAAAACAACTTGAAATTAAGAATGAAAAGAATTTAAATAAAAAAAAAACTAAAAAAAAAATAACATTTACTGTTTTTTAAATTTTTATTTTTATTTATGAATTTTTTTGGATGAACCTAATGCAACCTAAAACAGTATAAGGTTGCAGTAAAGATTGCAAAGTTCAGTAAGTCCTTTTTATCATAATTCAGAGAGCTGTTATAATAATCTAAAACCATTTAACAACACATAAACAACTCTTTTTTTTAATATCATAATTCAAGTTTAGCTCAACTAAAGTTTGTGAGACTAACCTAAAGAAAATCAGACAAAATCTACATGCTACAGTTACAAGCAGACATCTAAGGCATAACAGAGTATTTGCTATTTTTTGTGATACAATTTTTTAACTTTTTGAGTTTCTATGTATGACCCCAGCAGAAGTTTATTTAAAAAAAAAAGAGTAGTCATTTTGACTGAAAAGGCTCTCACAGCCTAGGCGAGGTAAATACAGTGAAAAGTCTCTCACAGTCTATGAGAGGTAAATACAGTGAAAAGGCTCTCTGTAAACCTATGAGAGGTAAATAGAGCGAGGGAAAAAAAAGAAACAAAAAGGTTAAGGTTTCAAAATGTTTCTAACAGACCTTTAGGATAGTTTAACATTAATGGTATCATGAACTTTAAATGGCAAAAAATAATAAAAGCAAAAAAATATAATCATATATAATCAGTGGTACATATAAATTTATTTTATTTTCTATTATCGAAATACTTTTTCTTTTTCTATTTGTTCAAATTTTTACTCAGTGTTTTTCATATCATGCCAAAGCCATTTTTGTAAGGTAAGAGTGTCATCAAATTGGAAATTTTTAAAGAGATATTAGCTTTTTTGTGGCTTTTTATAACTGTTAATTAATTAATTTATAATTGTTGAATTAACCTGCAAGTATTGAACAATTAAATGAACAACTACTGTTAGACTTACCTGTAGGTACTATTCCATGCCAAGTAGCTGCAGCATAGTCTACAGCAGTGGGCAGATATATATTTATAGCAACTGATGAAACAGGATAGATTCGATTAAGATAACTAAAAAAAAATATTTTGTCAATCACTTGTGACTTTTTTGTATAACTAATAATAAAACATTCATCAACAACTTTAATTCTTCTTCAACTTTAATTTTAACTATTATATTTGTTCATGAAACATAATTACTTTAACTATTGCAATAACAAATTCAAGTATACAAATTCAAGTATACAAATTCAGTATACAAATTCAGTATAACAAATTCAATATCAATATAGTACTGCATTTAATTTCCATCTCTACAAATAACTTATAAAACAATTAACAAATAACCATTATTGAGTTAAAAAAGAAAAAAATCTCAGCCATCACTCATAGAGTATAAAAAATATATACATAAATTAACTTTTTTAATATATATATATATATATATATATATATATATATATATATATATATATATATATATATATATATATATATATATATATATATATATATATATATATAATAATACAAAAAAAAAAAAGGCATTTTTGGCATATTATTTAATATTTTAGCTTATAGAACTTGTCTAAACTAAATTCAAACAAGCTGTCCTCCTCCGCTATGTTTTAGTGCTGCTTTTTCACTGTAAGTAAACACAGAAAAAATAGTGATTTTAATTTGAATAAAATATTTTTTTAAAACTTATATTGATTTTTTGTTAATTTAGCAGATTTCTAGTGTAATAATAATATTATTAAATACCAGAAGTCTGTATATATTATTAAATAAAATTGAAAAATGCTAAATTTTTCAATTTTATTTAATTGCAAAAAGTAATTTTTCGCAATAGAGTTAAGAAACTATTAATACAATATTTTTTTGAAATGAAATTTTGGTTAATGGATACTAATGGGGGATACTAATTAAATTACCTTAAAAAATTATTTTTTTTAAATTATTTTATCTAGTATTTATTCAAAGCATTTTTTCACTATTTTTTTAAAAATTTAAACAGCAGAAAAAAATAGATTTTTTAAATCGCGCAGGCTAACTTATAAAAGACCATCCTGTGAGTGCTTTTTCATGCATTAAATTTCAAACAGAGAGGTATATACTTACTATCATTATTTTTGAAGAAATTTATTAAATTTTATTTTCACTTGCAGACCAAAACTTTTTTTATGAACAAATAATTAAAGATTTAACTGGTAAAATTCAATGTGATACATCCATGAAACATGCACAAGATTTTAGGAAAGCATTGTTGGTATATGCTTTGGTAAAACAGCCAGTAACATATGCATAAAAAAAGGAGCTGCAACTTAAATCAAAATTGAGTTGAAAAGACTTCATCTTGTCATTGGAGAGGCTTTTTTAACATGTTAATGATGAGGCTTGTCACCATCAGCATAACAATCTACACACCAAATATTTTTACTGCATTACGATATTGCATAAGAGACAGCCAAATTTTTAAGAATTGATTTTGTTTATTCAAAATTTAAACTTTCTGAGTGACCTACCTACATCTAACCTAAAATATTTAACCAGACAAATTTTAATTTTTAAATTAGCTTACCAATGATACAGCTAAAAAAACATTTCCACAAAAAAATTATCTTAAATTAACTAACTTTGGAAAAGTTATGTCCCATGACGAGTGAATAATAATCTACTGCATGGCTAAGTTTATTGATCTTTTTTATTCATTACAATTTTACTACTTAAAATTTTGGTATTCTCCAGTAAATGACTTTTAACAGTCAATGATTTCAAATTTTTTGTCGCCACAAATCAGTATCAAGGAGACTAAAAAAAATTTCTAAGAAATGAAAAATTTCACAATTGCAAAGATGCATTTTTTAAAATCTAATTTTTTCAGCAAATAACAAATTTATTTTACAAATCAAAATATCATACAAAGCCAGAGCACTTGAACACTGCAAAAAATATGTTAGCCTTTTGTTTTTGTTTTTAATCTGCCAAAAAAAGTGTGCACAATGCCTCCAATAACTCAACATTATTGATTTCAGACATTTTTGCACACCAGAGACAAGACGCAGAAATTTACAGTCATTGGTTTTAGATCAGATAACCTGAAACAAATTGCAGTTTATGTTATTGCCAACAAAACTAGATTCTCCTTCTGGATCAGTTAGACTAAATCAATAAACAAGAGGAATAATATTTCTATTTACACCAGGTAACATTTGAAAAAAAAAGCTCATTAATTTTAAAAAAAAATATTTTTATTTTAATGTGGCTAAAAGTCTTTATAGTTATATCATTATGACTTTTACTAATATGCACTACTTTTTATTTTATTTTAGAGAACCTTCCTTTAAAATAATTAGAATTTATATTAAATTACATTAAATTAGATTTTTCTGTGAACTATTCTTTAAAGGTAATATAATAGAGATAAACCTGTTTGCTCTTTTTATATAGGTTTATCGATTGCAAAGTAAAAAAAGCTATTTGTGAATATTAAACACAAAGTATAGTAAATACTTTTTAATAGAAGAATCCTATTATCCTATTTTAATAAAAGAATACATTTTAATAGGAAGACGTCTAACATCAACATTAAATTAATTTACAAGGATAAAACTAATTAAACTGTACTTTGAGCAAAAACATGCTGCTGATGAACAGTCTCTTTCTGATTTTCACTATCACTGAGTTTGATTTTTATAAAATGAAAAATGATCAATTCACTGGAAAAACTTTCAAGAATTAATACAATATGTATTGTATTCAAGAGATTACTCCCTCTAGCATTCAGTAAAAAAAAAAAACAGAAAAAATTGATCAGAGGTTTTGGTTCAATATAAGAGAGATGCAGAGCTTGTAGTGGCTTCTCGTTCCAAAACTCAAATGGGTAAAGAATTTAACAACACAACTCAACTTCAATAGACTTAATAAAACTGACTTTTAAGACACACAGATTTTTATCACATAACTGAGTTTATAGATTGATATGGGCCTGCCTTTGAATTGTTCAGTAAACAAGCAACAGAAGCTATGCATTCAATGTTTAGGACTCAATGGTAAAGATTTGAGCAAAGTCATATACACCCTGACTACAACTGAATCCAGTTTCTCTTGTGTGTTGTCAAATTTAACAGCAAGCTTAAAAGTTAGAAAACATTTTTTTATTTAAAAAACTTTAATAATTTTGTTTTATGTTCAAAAAAATTAGAATTTATAATGAATTGCATATAATAAAAAGCATTGTTTGAAATTACTAATAATAAATAGAAAAAGTATTTTAACTATTTCTTTTTTTTCTTTTCTTTTTTTTTTTTTTTCGTAACAATTTTTTTTTGAAACAGTTTTTGACAATCAATAAACAAAATCAAATCAACAAACAAAAACTTATTTTTAGTTTTTTAACTAAAAACTCTAAACTAGAACTTTTTTCATCAAAATCTGTAAATAGATTTTTGAAAATTTTCCAGGAAATTATCGAAAGTGTATAAAGCAATACCCCAAAAAGCAGTTTTTAGTTGCTCTCCAAATTTGTTAACATCCACAGGGGATGGAACAATAAGAGCTCTCACAACTGCTGGTGTTAGGAAACCAATGAAGAGTGAATGTTGATGAAGCACATTTGTCTTCTCAAATATGTAGTGCTTCATAGAGATAATATCAACATTTATCAGTGCTGAAACAATATTTATGAGATTACTGGGATAATTTTTGTTAGCATCATTTCTTTCAAAAATCTTTATCATCTGCTCAAGCAATTTTATTTCTCAATATAAACCTTTCTTTTTTACTTTAAATTAAAGTGCCACTATAATCACATTTGTCTTTAAAACTATTATTACAATTTTCTTATAACCTAAAATATAGAATATGTTAGAGTATACTAAAATGTAGAATATGCTAGTGTGTATATGTCTAATATGTTTGTGTATTTTACAAAGAAAGTGCTCAATCCTCTTAAATAATATAGGAGTAACAAATTATTATATATATATAAATTTTTCATTCAATTAATTTAATTCATTCAAATGATTGATTGATTGATTAAAAAATTACAATATAATATGGCATCAAACTTATTGAAAAAAAAAATCTATAATATAATTAATTTTCTAGATATATCTGTTATTCTTATATATATATATATATATATATATATATATATATATATATATATATATATATATATATATATATATATATATATATATATCAAAACCAACATATTCTATAAAGAAACAAACACCCGTGACTACCTAAATTATATAAGCCATCACCCTGATCACATTAAAAAGAACATTCCATACAATCTTAAAAAGAACATTCAATATAAAAAGAATAATTGTTTTTACATCTGATTACACCACTGAAAAGCTACACTTAGATGAAATTTAAGTCATGGCTGAAAGAATGTAATTACCCCAAAATATCAATAAAAAAGTTTTTCACAATGCAAAATTTCAAGGGCCAGCACCCCAAAAATATTTTTTCCTTTAGTTACAACATTTTATAGCACCCTAAACTGCCAATTTATTTAAAATAAAACTAACCTTTTATTAACTTTATCATCTAATGAAAGAATAAAAAAGGTTTTTTCAAATATACATCCAGTAATAGCTTACAAACAACCACCAACTTATTGAGACAACTTACTTCTGTCAAATTTCAATCTGCGTCATTAGTAGAAAAAAAACAGGATTATTTAAATGTAAGGATATTTGATACAAAATTTGTGAAGCTTGCTAAAAGCTTTGTAACATCTAATGGCACTACTTGGAAGATAAAAAGCCATAGTACAAGTAATAATAAAAATGTGATCTTTTATCTAAAGTGTTTAACATGTAATGGTCAATCTACATACACTGGAAAAACGAACTGTTCAAGAAATCGGAAAAATGGCAATATCTCCAGCTGCTGAACTAGCCAGTCTCAGTTATTTATTGCAAAAAACTATTGCAATACTGTCGATATTCCTATATTAATGAATGGTAACCCTCTTACTGAGTTCTCTTCTAGGATTATTGTCTACTACTGACCTTTTATGGAAACAATATATAAAACCCAGGAAAACCTGTGCAGTCACGCACCTTGTTCGTTCATATTTAAAGTAATTTTTTTAGACAACTTGACCACATTTTTATATAGTAAGCATTTCAAGAATTCTCAGCATAATAAACTTATAAGAAACAACGAAAATAAAACAGCATTATTCAAAGAAAGGAAATAAATAATATATAAAATATAACACCTAAACAAAAAAAAAATGAAAAAAATTTAAAAAAGAAAAATTTTGTAAAAAAAAAATATACCTAGTTATTTTACTGTTTAAATTGGGCAATATAAAGGAAACAATTTCAGACAGACATTAAGTATTCTAAATACATTTAAAAAAGATACCATAGTATTTTTTTATTTAACTTCTTCCGTCATTACAAAATTGATTAATCAAATATCTTTTACAAATAAATAGAAATTTATTTTTTGAAGTATTGAGAAAAAACATCAAATACATCAAAAACTTTTTTAAAACTAAAAGATGTAAAAACAAATAAGTGTAAGGAAAAAAATTAACAAAGTTTCTCATAATTCTAGAGTACATAGCAAATTAACTTCATAAAAATCTTGAATAAATTGCATATCAAAACTTTCAATTGTTGTTATAAAATTATAAAATTGTTATTTTAAAATAATAACAATTTTATAATTTTTTTTTTTTTTTTTTTTCCTCAACTTTTATCAAATTATGTAGCTAAAAATAACAACCACTCTAAAAAAAAAATACAAAAGTTGTGTAAAAATTTTATTAAATTTTTTTTTTTTAATTTGCTTTTTTTAATTATTAAATTTAAATTAAAATTTGATATTTTGTAACAATTTTGTATTATTTTAAGATTGTTTTTTTTTTTAAGATTGTTTTTTTTTTCCTCAGTAGATAAGTTTAGCTTTTTGCTGCGAATTATTAAAATGCTTTAAAAGTTAAAAAATGCGAACTGCCGTAAAAAATGACTTTAAATATGGACAAACAAGGTGTGCGACCACACAAGCTTCCCAGGAAAGCTTATATATAATCGATTGTTTAAATTAGCATCAATTAAGGTTGCTTTTCTTTTTCATGTTTTACTATTTTCTTACTCCTGATTTTATTCTCTGCCTTTACAAATCTTTTAATTGTCCCTGTATGGAACACTGTTGTCATATTCAGGCGGGTTCTTCTAATGATACTCTTTCTCTTCTAGACAAGGTCCAAAAACACATAGTTGAACCCGCTCTATCTGCTAAGCTTGAGCCTCTTTCCTATTGTCAAAAAGTTGCATCTCTTTCTCTTTTCTACAAATACTATCACTGTTGCTTCTCATTGTTAGTTTCATCAACTAATATTCATTCTCGTTTGACTCATTTGTGTTTGCTTGCAGCAAGAACAAACAATAGTGTTTGCTTGTGTTAAATCAGAACAATGAAGAAAAAAACCAACTGACAGATTTGACAGCCATGTTTATGATAACTTATGAAAATCACAAACAAAAACATGATACTTAACAACATAAACTTAATTTCCTTTTTACAAAAATTTTTTAGTTGAAAACTTTTATTAAATAATAGCACTAATGATGAAACTTTGAAAGGCTTCTAGTGTTAAATTTTTAACAAAAAGTTGTATTATTTGAATAAATCATTTTTAAGAAATATAAACTTTTTAGATTGATTTTATTGTTATTTTGCTTGGCATACCCTTTACTTTATATATATATATATATATATATATATATATATATATATATATATATATATATATATATATATATATATATATATATATATATATATATATATATATATATATATATATATATAAGTAAATAAAAATCAGCATTTATTTAATTTTTTTAAATTAATGATAAAACTATACTTTTAGTTTTATTGAGATATTAAAAGTCAAACAAGATTCCAAGGGGAAAACACAATTTAAAAAACAAAAAATTTAAAATACTATTCTTTTTATTATTTGTAAATAAAAAGTAAAAAAAAAAAAACATTTAATGTAGGCTGTTTAAATAGTTTACATTGCTGCTTAGTAGGGAAAAAAGTGTTTACTTTTTTGTTTGTTTACACTTATTCATATTTCTTTAAATGATTTTTTTTTTAACTTAGTTTGTATTGAATAATTCCCAATATTTAATTTAGTCCACACATTCTTTTGTGTATGAGAAAAAATTATATTTTAAACTGTTTTAAAAAAACATATTTATTGCTTTAGAAGAAATTAAAAAAAAAAAAATCTGGTCATGTTTATCAAATGAAAAAAGTTAACAAACATACCTATCAAATTCACTAACATAGTTTTTCATATGAAGATACATACTTTTTCTAACTGAATTTTCAACAGCTTCTAATTTTGTTTTTACAATATTGTAACAATGTTCTGTTATATCTTTCATAGAATAATGTAAGTCTGAATTTTCAACTCTTGCTAATCTGAAAACATCTTGTAAAGGACCTTTATCGCCACTCCAAAAGCCTCTTGTTGCCATCTTTAATAAAGTATGTTCATGAAAAGTACACAAGGCACTTTCCGGAGTATTCTTTTTTGGAGGTGAACATCCAGGTTTAAATGGTGGTCCACCATGATTTTTTTTATCAGTAATGTTAATGTTTTTTACACGTCCTTTTTTAAATGATTTTGTTTTTATGTCACCTAATGATGTGGTGGTTTCATCAGAAGTTTTAAGGTTTTCACTATATTTGTTTATAAATGTATCTGAAGATTTAATATTAGATATAGAGTTTTCATTCTCCTCTTTTAAAAGCATCTTGTGACTTTCTTGCACAAGAGTTTCAAATAATGAACTGTCTGTTAATAAAGAATCCATCCCAAATAATAAAGGTGGTTTTTCATTCACTTTATTGTTATTTGTATTAGAGTATATTGAATTGTCTAAACATTGAGGACGATACTCACACTGATTTGTGGGCAGTGTCATTTGATTATATATATAGTTTTCTGTTTCATATAATGAATTTAGGTTTGATTTAGGTGATGTAAAAATTGATGGTGGTCTACATTCAGAAGCAAATATGGAAGTCTTTGGAGAAGACAAAGGTGTTGGAATCAGAAATCCATTAAGATGAAAGTTTGTCATCTCAGTTTCCTGTGTATTGTTTGGATTTGATTGAGCTAAGCAATTATTTGAGGTGTTAAAAGGTCTTGGATTGTGAAGAACCTCTTGCTCTGTACTTATAAAACTTGTATGTGAGATATTATTGGGTATCTCTTGTTCATTATTAATCAATTTACCTGCAGTTGCAGCCAAACAGTTCAAAGCCTCTAAATGAGATCTTGCTGAACTTTCTAACTGTGCTGTATCTTCTTCCATAAATTTCTAGATATATAATAAATAAGCATAAATAACAATCAGCAAATGAAAGTCTTTTTATATACTTATAAAATACTGCATAAATATAAATTCATTAAAATATTTTCGCAAGACAAATTATGCTACTACATTATGTAGCATAAAGTGACGCTTTGACTATAAAGTTTAACTTTGTGATTCATGCACTTTAAACTAGCTTAAATTAATACAGTTATTATATAATTTTGAAAGTTATTATGTAATTTTCAAAATCGAAATTTAAAAACACGTTTTACACATGTTTAGATTTTCAATTAATGTAATAATTACAATTTACTTATATGACTATATACGGTTAATCAATAACTTATACTTGTTTATCTTTTGAGGTTTAAATATATAAATAAAAATTAATATTTTAGTTCATCATTTATAAATCAATAAAACAGAGGACTTTTTTAATGTACATATATATTTTATTAAACTATTTTTTTCCCTTAATTTATTAAAACTTACATATTATTTTAATTTTTAATCTAATAATATCACATGCTTTTGTCTCGTAGTTGCTCTTTCGCTTAACAACATCAAAAAGCACTTAAAATTCTTCAAGTGTTATTCTTAAAAAGTTATTATTTATACAGATCTCAGAGAGTGAGTGTAGCAATCAACTAATAGTTTGTTACAATATTTGCACGTGGTGAAATACAAGCGTAATCAAGAAAAATATACGTACGCGCTTTTAGCGATTAAATTAAAACGTTGTAATGATCATTAAGTGAAATGCGTAAATTGCTTTGAGCTTGATTTTTTTTTTCTAATTTTATTTTTTTGAAAGACATTTTCTCTAAAAGATAAGTTAAAATTGGCTTAAAAAAAAAGTGCGTTTGCATAACTTTTAACTTTTAACATATTCTTTAAAGTGATTTTTTTAAATCCTCCTCCCACTTTTTTTCTATTTGTTGTTTTTTAATGAGTCTAATTTTTTAAGTTTAAAAAAATTATTATAAAATAAAATGTAAAAAAAAAGTTAAACAAATATTTAAAATACCACTGGAAAAAAATGTTAAAAAAGACTTGCAAAAAAAAAAAAAAAATGATACAACTTGCGTCGTGGTATTAAAAGTAGAACTTAATACTTTGCGTTCGAATAAAATCGAGTAAAAGCGCAAAGTTAAAAGATTAATTATTCGATATTATTTCATTTATAAAACGTCATAAATTTTTGAAAACAAAAAAAAAATAATTTAATTGCAGCAAACAGCGCAACGATAATGTTTCTTTAATTTAACTCAATATAAAAATGAAATTATTAAAAATAAGAAGCTTTAATATGGATTAGTAGTTAAAAAGTGTTTTTTGTTTTTTTGTTTTTGTTTTTTTACTCAATATATTTACATTTTTCATCGGTAATATTTTTAAAATTTGTTTCTTCATCTAATTTTTTTTTTTTAACTTAAACTTTCAAATTGTCGACATATAATAATAATTCAAATCTCAGAAAAGAACCTGCGTTATTCTAATATTATAATAATATTTCCCGAATCTTGAACCTTTAAACTTTAAATTTTTAGTCACGGATAAATTCGTTTTACTTAAAACCTTCTTAAGGTAAGTTGCTTAATAATTATTGGTTTGAACATTCATTTATACAAAGCGATCCAAAAGGAATAAATTCTAAAAAAAACCTCTTCAAACATTTCCGTTGTTGAGGATATCAAGTCAAAAACCAATTCTGCTCATAGGATCAATAAATATTTTTTGAAAAAAAATGTTGCAAGGAAACACCGTAGTTGTCAATCATCGTGACTTTATTATTATTTTTTTTTTCTGGATAAAGGGAAGAACTCAGTTTTGCGCACACATTGGATTAGGCGCAACAAAAGATTAACGGCATATAATTTAATGACTTAATAAAGATGAATCATATAGCTAATATCATAAACAGCTAAAGAAAAATGAATTTTATACAATATTTATTTCTTAACGTAAAACGCTATTTTTAAACGAATGAATAATAAAAACTGAAAGTTCTTTTTTATACTATTATACATAAAAGTTCGTTTTGCTTACATTGTATTATCGAGCAGTCCATGTTACTTTTTGATAAGCCTGAGCAGTCTATGTTATACGTGCATCATGATATGTAATAATAATTATTTTTTACTTTTTGCAGTCTTTTTTTTTATTTCATTTTTATTTTATTACTCAAACTTTCTCCATTGTTTTGGTTTTTAAAATATATATATATTTTTTTATATCTTAGCGTAAAAGCGCTTTAATTAACGTCTTTGTAGAAGACGACTACCGTCGTTAACAGCAGTAAAATTTTTGTATCAAATCGTAATTGAAGGGCACAGGGGAAAAAGCTGACGTGTCAAAAATTTCATATATTGAGTTTTTTCCCTTGCTACATAGAGCCCGACACAAAGTTACATCCTATTATGTTGTCCAACCGAAAAACCAGCAAAGTCTCGAGCGTTTAGCATTTAAAATTATAGCCATCTGGGGAAAAACCAGACATGTCCAAATCGTACAGGGGAAGAAGTAGACATGTCCCCGCTGAGTCATGTGGTGTCGATTCACATTACTAGGTCAGCCAATCAGCGTTTAGCTTTGGTATAACAACAAAGTGCGTGCAAAATGGCGGATTGCTTTGACAGACCAGTTGTGACTGTAACGCCTCGAAAGCGAAAAATTAATGGAAGGAAAAAAGATGCGACAAAGATTAAACGCATAAAAAATCATACAACAGGTGAGGATTGCAAATGCAGCCGTCTAAAATGTTTTGAACAGATAAGTGAAGCTGCAAGACAATCACTTATTGAGGGCTTCAACGCATACTCAAGCAAAGACAGCCAAGATGCTTATCTGTCTACAATGGTAGTAGTTCTCCCTGTAAAACAACGTAGGTGTAGGGAAGGTGCAGACGAAAATTCTTATAAACCTAAAGAGATGAGTGTTAAGTATGTCGTAAAGGTATCAACAGGAACATCAGTGGAACCAGTGGCAGTGTGTGTGAAAGCCTTTTGCTCGCTCTTCGGCATCACAAAAAACCGTGTAGAAACAGTCCGCAAAGCAATGTCATTAACAGGTGAGTAGGAATTGGAATTAGTGCTTTTAATTTGTTGTTGATTTGAATAATACAATTTATAATTTTAGTAAAGATTATTATTGTTATTATATTTATTGTTATTGTTATTATTATTGTTATTATCATTGTTGTTTTTATTACTAGATCTATTATTATTGTTGTTATTTTTTTTATTTTTTTTTATGTGATCTGTGTGAATTTGTGTGAATACACGATTTTTTTTGTATAAGTAACTCGTTTATAAGCAACTGAACTCGATGTGAAAAAATACTAAGCAACTTCAGTTCTGAAAAAATGTTAACATAAGCAACTCATATATTGCAATTTTTTTCTCTGCAATGTAATGACTTTTTTTAGATAAACGATTTCAAAAAAAAGTAATCACAGTAGTGTTGTTGTGTATGTTGTTGACAACGCTGTTAAGATCATGAGTAAGAGAAAGCAGACAAATTTGTTCAACTTTGGTTTTACCAAAAAGATTTGTCATCGTGGTGAGTTGGTAGTAGGAAGGAAAAAGAAGATAATTTGCAACCATTAAGCAACCATTAAGCAACTCGAGATATAGAAATTGGCTGAAAAATAAGCAACTCGAGTTCTGACCAAAATTCTAAGTTGCTTATACAAAAAAAATCGTGTATAAGTATTATTATTCATCTTCTTTTTAATTTATGATCTTTAATTTATGGAGGAAATAAAGATTATTGTTATTATTATTATTATTATTATTATTATTATTATTATTATTATTATTATTATTATTATTATTATTATTATTATTATTATTATTATTAATATTATTATGGATTTAATAGTGATGTTATGTCTTGCTTTAAAAAGCACAAACAGAAGGTGAATTTGATTTCTCATACAAATCTTTCTGTTACAGCAAACTTAGTCATGTGCAGTTTTCATTGTCGTTCATTGATACCTCTACTATGTTTTCTTCTACCATATGCCATCTTCCTACCCCACACTATCAACTTTCCTCTGTCAATTTTATTTCATATTGTGTGGGTTTTTTCCTCGCAGGTCATGCACCACAAGATGGAAGAGGAAAGCATAACAACAGTCCACACAAATTGACAGATAAAATAGTAACAATGGTGTGTGGCCACATATCATCTTTCCGGGGCAGACACAGTCACTATGCAATGGGGGAGACAAGAAAGTTGTACCTTCCAGATACCTTGAATGTCGCCAAAATGCACCAGATGTTTGTGTCAGTTCAACCTGAAACCAAGGTTTGTGTATGTTTTTATGTCAGTGACAGTGAAATAGAGGATATTTTGAAGCTACTATATGTGCATGCACGAATACTAATTTTTAATTGCAGCTAAATTTACATATCAAACCCATCACAGCATCTGTTGGGTTTGGCTTCTTTTATTTTAATTTAATTTATTTATATTATCAGGGCATATTACAAAATTTTGTTTCGAGCTCGAAAATGTAAGCTTTTCTAAAAACTCTCATACCTTGTGTATATATAAAGCACACTACACCAAATAACTTGAATTAATTTAATTCCTTTACTTTTAACATTATTTAAATATTACTTACAAATAAATTAGATATAACAAATTTTGATTAGATATTTTAAAGACTATTAATGACACAATGAATGTAATAATTTATAAAAATAAATCAAAGTTGACAATCTAGAATCTTTTAACACTGATCAGATAACTCAAATTCTTCTTCTATTGCCTCGTTTTAAAAATTCAACACCTTTTTTTTCAAAGCTATATATGATAATGTGATATATATTTTTTTTTTCTTTATTTACTTTTTCTTTTTTTTTCGCAGATTAGCTATGAATCCTCCAGTACACTGTTTAACACAAAATTCAACATTGGATTTGGTTACCCACGGAAGGATACTTGTTCCACATGTGACGAATTCATCGTGAAGTTGCAACATGTGGATGGTGACATTGCCGATGCCGAAAGCAATGGTAGAGATGTTGCTGGTCTGAACAGCAAAAAAACTGAACTACTCACGAACCACGAGCTGCACAATCGCAAGGCCAGCACATTCTACGCAAGGAAAGCTGCAGCTAAGGAAAGGGCAAGAAAATGTGACAAGTTTGAAGCCATCTGCTTTGACTTTGCCAAAAACCTACCAGTGCCAAACAAGTCTACCAATGACGTTTACTATCGCAGACAGCTCAGCCTGTATACGTTTGTAATCCATGTATTATCAACTGATGAAGTGTATATGTATACATATGATGAAACAGTAGCAAAAAAGGGTGCTGACGACGTTTGTTCATTTCTTGCTGACTTCATCCGCAGCCACATTTCTGAAGCCGTGGACGAAATCAGTTTCTTCTGCGATGGGTGTAGTGGTCAAAATAAAAACTACACAATGATTAGGTTCTTATACAATCAAGTACATGAACGCAAGAGATTCAAGTTGGTGAAAATCACCTTTCCGATAAGAGGCCACTCCTACATGGAGTGCGATAGAGATTTTAGCAACGTCAACATGACAAAGAATGTAGACTTGCCAGAGGACTGGTTAGCAGAATTTGCAACTGCCCGATCACGTCCAACACCTTTCACGGTCATCTGTGTTACACAGGACATGTTCTTCGCCTACACAAAGTACTTTCGACCTTCCTTCAAAGCCGTATGCCCTATAAAGACACGCCCAGTCAGGGAGATCCACATTTTGGACTCTCGTCCATTGCTTGTTCTCTACAGGGATTCCTGGAATGGTGGGTTTGTGTCTGCTGTATTAAAAAAAACACGGACTCGGCGTGGGAAGAAGCAGCCACAGATGTCTGTCCTTACAAAGTTGTATGAAAATGGTCCTCTGCCCATCAGCTCAGAAAAGTATAAAGACCTTCAAGTATTGAAAAGGTTTTGCAGCCCTACAAATCATCAGTTCTTTGATGAGCTCCCTCATAATGGATCAGACACTGCTAGAGTGAACCCAGGTCATGAACTCAGTGATATGTCGGAGAATGAGGATTGAATTTTTTATGTTGAATCCCTTGTTTCATTTTTATTTTGCAACTGTAGCTTGTTTTATTTTTCCTACTTTGTTCTTGTGTGCTGTTTGTGTATGTTGTGCAGTTGTCATAAAATTAAGCTTTCTGTCAATTACAAAAAATGTCTCGCTATCACTTTGGAATAAAGTGTACGTGTTCACACCAAAATCCCAGTACTCGCTATGATAACTTTAATTTAAAGCAGACCGATCACAAATGCATGAAAATATGTATAAGAATGATTTATATGGCTTCTAATGTCATTGTTTAAGCGTCCCATAGCATTATGAGTATATCTGGAGAATAAAGCTTAGCCTATTTTGGAATATTTTGGATTCAGGGGAAAAAACAGACATGTCACAAAACCACCTCTTGTGTGATTTTTTTAGTTTAAATCCCAACGGTCATAAAAAAACATGCAAACTTTATCATTTATAGCAATGATATTGGTTCGGCTTGCTGTATGCAGAATCTCAACTTTGTATTCTGTATCTTTGATCATTGAGGAGTGTTTAAACTTTTAAAATGGGTTTTCTCAAAACTTGCAAAATGTGACATGTCTGCTTTTACCCCTGTGCCCTTCAATTAGCAATACATATTCAAAAGATGATAATCATTTTTTAAATCTCTTGGCCAGATACAGGTTTTCTATGACATGTTTAAAATTTGCCAACATTTCTCACGACCTCTTGGCAAGTGGTTTGATCAAGTCTTTACGAGAGCTCCATTTTGTCATAGAATGTCTATGCAGTGAAATTCCTATCGCTTCAGTAAGAATCGAAATTCACTTTCACCAATTAGTAAGTACAAAGATTCAACATTTTCAAAGAATACTTTGATCTCAATGGCTGATTCAACTGCGTGGACACCAGCCAAATTCAGACTCTAAGCGCTACAAGGAACGTACAGAGTTTCCAAATATATTTGCCTTAATAAGCCTTGAGCTCCCTTGTAAGCACCTGACATATAGGATTCATTATCGTACCCCTGATTGCGATAGTTTTGAATATCCATTCCTAGCTTTGTAATCGCATAAATGATAAGCTTAGCTATATAGACTCCTTTCTTTATCTCGAAAGCTTCAAAACACAAAAATTGTTCTTTGATCTGCCAATGATTAGTTTCACTTTCATTGATGAGAAAACGAATTACAAAATTTATCTGCTCAGTGTGAGATATATTAGGGGTACCATCGACTATAACTGTGAAGTAAATACCATCCTGGATTTCTTTGACAGCTGCGATTCGGATGACAACCCCATATTCTCTAATAAACTCATTTTGAGACGACGGAGAAAATCATTCTGTAGCTTTCTTGTTGATGGAGTCTTACATTTTCCAAGTGGGATGCAATAACGGGGTTTTGGCCTTGTATTTTTTAAAAAGTACGAGGTGAAATCGGGGGGGGGGGGGGGAGGAGGAGGCAGGGGTTTAAATCTGCTAATAATATAAGCTACAATTCCATTTCACAAAAAATAAAATTTGATTGCAAATATATAAACAGACAGAGGCTCAAAAAAAATATGGATGGCAAAATACCAACCTAATCTTTTCATAGAACCCATACAGATCATAAAAATAATAATAAAATATGGTAAATAAATCAAGTAGAAAATTTAGCTAAAAAATTTTAAAAAAGAAGATATAATATTTAAAAATATAAACAGAGAAAAAAGAAGATATACTATTTAAAAGTACAAGTATTCGCAATTAGTCAAAAAAGAAAATATAATAGTCGCCAATAGTCAAAAAAAGAAAAGAAAATATTTAAAAATACAAATCTGTCAAGAAAAAGAAGATATAATATTTATAAATACTAATAGTCACAAAAAGTCATAAAAGAAAATATAATATTTAAAAATACAAATTTTCAAAAAAAAATATAATAACATATTTAACTTATAATATACAAAGATTACATTTAATATTTAAAAAAACAAACAGTCATATGAGAAAATATAGTGCTTAAAAAACTTATTTGTAAACAAAAATAAAACTTATTTTGTAAGATTTAAAACAAATTTTTTTGTTTGAAACTGAAATGAATTTAATGGTTTTGCCATATTTAATTTGCCTTTAAGAAAAGAGTTCCTTAGCTTAGGTCCTCTATAAGTTATACTATATTCTGTGTATTTGTTTACTTTACGTATTTTATACGTGTTTTATGCGTGTTACTTTGATTTATTCTTAAGAAATACTTCTCGTTTAGATTTTTATTAAATTTATTTATAATGATTTCAGAAGTTAGATTATTGATATATTTTTACATAAAGTTTAGGTGTTGGTAAATATTTATTTGGTATATGTTTATCATTTTCATATCCATGATTAAAGATTTAGTGTGACCCTTCCGTTTTTTGTTGTATATAATTCTAGAAGCATATTTTTGTAAACAAAGAACTTTTTTAAGTTTTGTTGGTTGACAACTTGCCAAACGCAATATTTGCATAAGTAATGCAGCAATCAATTAAGCAGAAACCCCGATCTCATGTTTCTGCGGCAAGCGCGCTACTAACACCTAAAAAAAAAAAAAAAAAAAATTTCAAAATCCTTTTTAAATTACCAACCAACTGTTTTAATCTTTAATTATAAACTATAAAACAAAATAAAACTCATTAGTTATCCATCAACTTATTTAACTAAATACTTATTTAACCAACATCAGCACTTATCCTAATCGTATACCAAAAGCCTCACTTCAGCAAGTTTCGCCAACGCATTAAATTAAAATTTCGACATTTCCACCAACTATTTGAGCAAAAAATTGTTTTTTCCTTAAAAGGGTTTAAAGTAGGCACTCTGTCTACTTTGAAGGTTTAAAGTAGGTTTAATATAGGCACTCTGTCTACTTTAAGCCCGATGCAAAAACACAAATATCTAATAACTGACCAGGTCCTAACAAAGGTAAGGCGGCTTTTTTGTCAAACAAATATGATGTTATGGTTCTTTTTTTTCTTTAACATTTCAATATATTAAGTGGAGTAATCTGAGCCTATTTTTACCTATTTCTGACTTTAAGCAAAAAATATATATAGCAAAACAATTTTTGAATAAAACTTAAAACCATGATTAGACGTCATTTTTAGTAAACTACATCAAAAAAAATTTATACATAACTTTCAAAGATTTATAAGAAGCAATAATTAGATTAGTATTCTATTAAACCACATTACCCCGTTTTGAAAGGTAATGCGGGTCAATGAAATATATCAATTTATAGTATAATTTGACTTAAGTCATTGAGTATGTATAATATTTTATCTGTTAAATATAATCAAAAGTTTAAACATAATAGTAATTTAATAGATGTTTTAAACACAAAAAAACTATACTCTTTTAAAGCGCTAAATTAGAAACGCAAAATGAATATTTTTTTCTACCTCTGTTACCTAATTTCTAAGAAATACAAAGCATTCTTGTGGATCAATTTCAATAGCTTTTTTTTTTTTACGAATTTTCTTAACATATAGAATATATTATAATATATTATTCTCTGAATTAAATATATGATATTTAACTATAAAAGTTGAAGTACTTATAAAAGTTATTTTGATTAAAAATCATACTTAAGAAACCTAGTAAGCTGATAATTAAAACTTAGAGAACTGTTTTAACCAGGGCTGATGAGTCGGAGTCGGACATTTTTAGCGGAGTCGGAGTCGCTAAAAATTCGCGACTCCGACTCCAATGGTAAAACTTCTCAGAATTGGACATGCATGAGGGGAGATGGGGGTGCATTGATCGCCGTTGCAGTATTTTGAAAACTGCAAACAACCCGATCTAGATATAAAAACTTATTAATTACTAAACTAAACTAGAACAATCTGTCTTTAAGTGAAAATAAATGTTTTAATAAAAAACATTAATGAACATGGTATATTTCAACATTACAACAACCCTTGCAAAAGATCAATGTACCCCATGCAATGGGGTACTATGATCTCCGATATGGGGCGCTTTGATCTTATATGAGTAACATTATTTAAATGTATACCTAAGTACTACAAATGCATTAGTTGAAGGGTATTAGTGTATATTATATAATACATCTAAAAAAAAAAAGTAAAATTTAAAACCTATATATATATATATATATATATATATATATATATATATATATATATATATATATATATATATATATATATATATATCATTACAACCTAATACACACCAGTGTATAAAGTTTACATTAGAAGAATAACCACAATTCTATTTATGAAAATAAGCACGTTATATACTACTAACATATATATGTGTTAAGTTTTACAAAACTTGAAGCTTATAAAGTCTATAAGAATACAGTATTTTAAGTTTACAAAGAAAATACAAGATTCATACAAGACTTTTATTAGAACTAAAGTTTACAAGATTATTTTTTTATATTATCATCCTTTGTCAAAGTCAAGTCGTGATGCTGCTTTTACATTACATTGTTTTTTGTTCCTAAGCAAGTAGTTTTTTACTTTTCCCCTTTTTTTATCTTTTGCGATGAGTTTCTTTTGTTGGTTGATTTGTTTTAGGGTTTTCTTTTCTTCTGACAAACGAATTTCATTTCTGATTGGAGTATCAGTCAAAATCCTAGTTTTTAATTGTCTACTTTTAACACTTCTTTTTCTAGCAGATGCTTTCGGGTAAGGTTTCAAAACTTCAGGTGAGAGTAATGAAGCAATGTTTGGTGACACTTTTTTCGAAAAACTTGTTTCATGATGTACTACAGGCATTTCAGGCTCCATGCCATCAACATGTGCTACAGTCATTTCAGGCTCCACAAGAATTGTGTTTACTACATTTGGAGCAGCACGATGTAACTGATGATCGTAAATATTCATCATCTTTAAAAATTTCTGGATTAAATGGCTCAATGCCAGCTACTTGAAATCCTCTCTGTATATTAGATGGTGAGAAAGCTTTTGTATATGGTTCGCGAACTATTGAAACAATATCATAAATGGTCATAGGTCTTCGATTTGTGACCATCCAATTATCACACGCAGCATTGTAAAACCTTTTCAATGGTCCAAAAACAAATCTATCCAATGGTTGCAATTTATGGGTACAATGGGGAGGAAAACTTAGCATTGTAATTCCATGTTGAATTGCAAGATCCAAAGCTCTAACAGAAATATGACTTTTATGGCTGTCCAGAAGTAACAAAATTGGAGATTCGTGAGAACAGTTTGAATACCTCACAAAATGTTTTATCCATTATATAAAAATGTCTGAAATCATCTAACCAGAAGGATTTGCAAATCCCACAGGAGGACCTTCCTTTATCATGTAATCATGAAATTTGACCCTAGGAAAAACAAATATTGGAGGAATAGAGTTTCCAATTGCATTTGAAGCACAACATACAGTTACTAATGTTCCTCGTTCTGCAGATTTGATTCTTCCTACTTGTTTACTTCTTTTACCTGCTAACACTTTTACTGGCTTTTGCACTGTTGTTAAACCAGTTTCATCAACATTATATATGCAATAAGGATCAAACTTATATCAATTTCTTACTGTTTTTAGATTTTGGAAAAATTCTCCAACAGTGTGTTGGTTAAAGGCAGTTGATTGAGCAAAGCTAGTTGCTTCAGGTGTTCGTAAAGACAACTCTGGTTGTCTTTTCATAAAACCTTGCAACCAATCAATCTCTGCAATTTTATTCTTGATCCAATCTTATAATTTTTACAGCAAACTCATATGCCAATAATCGTGTTGACTTAGTTGAAAGTCCATAGTTCATTTTTGATGCAAGTAGTAAATAACTTGACAAACTTTTTTCATCTTCTGCAGTAAAAATTTGTTTATTGTTGTAATTAGGCTTAAAAGATTCATTTGGGTTGAGCTTCTTTTTATTACAATATCTTTTTAAGGTCATTCGATTTATGCTAAACTTGCAAGCTGATTGTTTAAAAAAAATATTTTATATAATAATATTATGTAAACTAATTGTAAAACTTATGTAAAACTAAAAACTAATGTTATTAATATTAGTTTTTAACACTATTACATTTTAAAAATGAAATTTGAAAAGTTTATATAAAGATTTTTTATTCGTCATAAGTTTAAATGTATAAAGTTTAAACAAAAAATTTAAGTCTTATAATATAAGTTATATGGGGCACTTTGATCCTCCGATCAATGCGCCGCATAGTCAACGATCAATGTGCCCTATTAGGTACAGTTGATATATTGATGCCAATAACTTCTATAAATACAGTAACCAACTCAAAAAAACAAATTTATTATAAACTTAACATATATGAGTGTACAATAAATTGGTTGTAAAGTCATACGGAAATCTAATTAAAAATTTATTTGAATTTGTTTACAACTTTCAAAAATCACTTTTCATGATGAAAAACAGTCTTTTCAATTTTCTTAACGCTGA